TTTTATTAACTAAATAAATAATTACAAATTATATTTAAAAAAAAAATATTGTATAATATTATTATATAAATAATATTAATTCATTATAGTGTTTCAATATTTTTATAAAAAGTTAATAATATCATTTTTTAATATAAAATTTAATAATTTTAATAATTCATTCTAAAATAATATCCCATATCCTTTCTAATTTATTTGCCCACATAAGAGCTTATTGTTTTAAATCTTACATTATGGAATCAAAAGATTAGTTATTACCGACTCCATAAAAGTTTCTTGTTCCAACCAAATTTCGTAATTCATTTATTTCAATCATATTGTTTTCTAAAAATAATAATAAAATAATTATTGAAAGATAAAAATAAAAAAAAATACAATTAACATCTAATACATTAATAAAAATTTCAATTTAATCTTTGTTGTATTTTAAATTATATTTTGCTTAAAATTCACTCAAAAACTTGTGTAATTTTTTAGGTGTTATATATCCTTTTTCTTCAATAATTATTTATAATTATTGCATATTTTAATCAAGGAATTTTTAAAATAAATAATATTATTCGAAATTTACTTTTCCTTTAAATTTTGTATTTTACAATTGCTTAAAATGTTATTTAACTGATTTTGGTTTTAAATATGATAAAAGACTTTTTGCAAAATCTTCGCCTGAAATATATCCATGACTGTCTTATTAAAATTAGTCAAACTTTTTTATTTTTATTTAACAAAAAAATAAAATATCAAAACCTCAAATCTATGCATATCTTTAACAATATTTTCTCTTATTTAAATCAAATCTTAAACATACATTTTTTCTTGTGGTTTATTTTAAAGTAAATTCTTGACCAATTATTTTATTATAACTTCTAGGTTTTTCTAATGAGCTTAAACCTTTCTTGCGTCTGGTAAGTTTGTTTAGGTAAATTTTGTTTAAGCAATTTGCTTTAAATGTAAAAAGACTATTTCATTATATTATTATTATTTTTTTTTTTTTTTTTTTTACAATTTTCTAAGGCTTACTGATTTATTGTCTAAATTTTTTAATCACTAAAATATTTTTCACAATTTTATTTGTTTGCTTTTGAGATATATATATTTATATTGCTTTAAATATATTTTTTTTACTCTATAAAAACCATATTATTAGTAAATATTCGTAAATGCTTATTTTTCCATCTTTGTCAATATCGGTAAATTCAACTAACGCACGGCTTACGAATTTTTCTTTTTCCTCTTCCTATGAAAAATAAAATAATTAAAAATAAAAAAATAATACTGTTATAGTTTATTTAGTGGAATAAGAATACGGGCATATTGATTTAAATAAATCATAATGGCTCATAAAAACATATTCACCTTCAATTATAGTAGCAAAAGTTTAAAATATTTTTTCTGGTTTGCTGTCTCTTCTTATCTAAAATTATAAAATTTTTAATAATTAGATACATATTATAAAAATACTTTATTTTCATATTCTCCTCTTATTAATTATTATTATGATGGCATCTATATATGTATATATATATATATATTTATATATGTTAATTTCTTTATTCAAATTACTTAAAAAGCATATATTTTTCTATTGTTCATTGTTATTGAGCATGATAAAATTACCATAGGGTAATATATTTTAGGAAGGATTTTAGAAAAATACATTTTTATATATTTAAAAGATTTTATTAGAAATTATTATATATAAGTTTTTTTATTTAAATATAATATAAAAAACATAGTAAATAATATATATTTTTTTTTATAAAATATTATCTTAATTTTAATTTAAATATTCAAATCAAAACATATTATTAAACTATTGTTATTTATTAAACTCAGTTTTTTAAAATTATGTAAATTTATTAGTATATTTATAAAAAGTAAATTATAAAAAATATAGTTATTATTAGCTTTTCTATTTGATATAACTTACATTATTTATTATAATTAATTTTTTTATTTTTAAATTATTGATAAAATAAATTACGAAAAAATCAAAAATTATATAAAATTCAGACTATAAATTATAAGAATCTGTTACTGGCAAATTTATTTAAAAATTTCAGAAAACAAACAAGTCATTTAAATATATTGCTAATGCAGAACAATATAAATACATAATCAAATAATGAAATAATATACAAAAAATATATATTAATTATGAAATTTTTAAAAAAATATTTAAAATAATCAATTGTTATATCAAAATTATTATATCGTTAAAATATATCTCTTTTAATATAAATATCATCCGAATCGTCCAATTTCTTATTATCATAAAACAAAACCAATCCAAAAAAATTGTTTAATAAATTAATATTTTATTTAATAATTATAATTCAAAGAAATATTATAATATAGATGAATTATTTATTATAAATTTTGAAATCTATACATGATATGTGCTTATATTTATAATAAAATAATGAAATTCATCCTAATATACGCCCTTATACTATTATTTTAACTGAAAAATATAAATTGAAATTATTTAATTGTTCATTTTTTGAAAATTAATAGATTTTGAAAGAAAATAATGCACGAGAATTAATAATATATTAATTATATTATTCCCGATTTTTTTTTTATCGAATATAAAAAATAAAAAGTTAATATATTTTTGAATAATATTACTTACTACAATTTTCAGACTAATTTATTTTACAAAATTACAATCAATTTTTGATAAATATTATTTTTATTACAATTCGGAATAGCAACTATTAATTATACTAAAAAATAGAAATAATATATGTGAACTGCTTTTTATTCTCTTAGTAGATAAGCTAGTAAGTTTATACACAGAAAGACCTGATTTAGATGAAATTATTTCGATTTCAAATTATAAATAAATTTAATTTTAATCTATATAAATAAAAGATTAAATATTATAAAGGAAATAAAAAATATAAAGTATAGATAAAAATCATAAAGAATAAGAAAAATAACATTTTCATTATTAAATGATTAGAAAAATTAACAATTACTAAATTAATTAAAGTTTAAATAATAATAATTCTATAATTATATCTATTTTATAAGATAGAATAAATGTTAAAAAAAGATTTCTTAAAAAAAAAAATTAATAAATTTAAATTATTTTTTTAATATTTAATTAATATATTTTTTTAGTTTTAATTATTTAATATATCTTTAGAAATAACATTTTTAAAATATTTTAATAACCTTATATATATTATTTATGATAATTTTTTGAATAATGCATTTTTTTTTATTTATTGATAAAAATAGAAATATATTGTTATACAAATAAGAAATAAAAAAAAAATATAATTTAAAAAATTTTAATTGAATGTCTTCTTAATAAATTTAAGTATTTTATTAGTTTTAGGTAACTATAAAAAGTATTAAAAACTTTTCTAATTATATTATATAATAGAAAGATAAAGATTAATCTTATAATGTATTTACTATAAAAAAAGAATAAGGAGGAGAAGTTATTTATTTATAAAATTAAAAAATATATATATATATATAAAAAATAGATATAACTAAAAAATGTAATAAATAATTTTCCTTTCAGTTTATTAGAATAAAATTATCACATTCGTTTTAAAATATAGTGTACAGAAGTAGAACCTAAAATGTAAAAAAAATATACAAAAAAATTAAAAAAATAATAAATAATAGATATGCATGGATAGATCCTTAAAATTTAAATGCAAGAGCACCAATAATAAATGGTGTTATATATGTGAAAATATTAAAATTGGAAAAAGATAGATAATCATTACTTTTTAATAAATAAAAACTCAATCTATTAGAAAATAACAACATAAATTAAAAATAACAACATAATATTACTTCTTAAGAATAATCCTAAAACATTTAAGATTAAGGAATAAAAAATGACCATAATTAAGTTTCGAACCATGGAATGAGTCATTCATTATCTTAACCAGATTTTATTCATAAGAATTTAAATGAAAATTTATTAGGTGATGATTTTATAGAATCAAATAATAATTATTAATAATAATAAAATGAATAACAAGAACAATAAGAAGACGCAGATTTGTTTGATTTTCCTGATCAAAAGCATGCCAATACTCCTTAAAAAGTTATTAACATTCCTTAAAAAAATGCAAATAATATTGGTGATTTATTGCATTCTCCTGAAAAAGCTTCAAGTGAGTTTGATAAAAGACTTTAATAAATTGGTATTCCTTATTTGAGTAACGGGGATATAGATGGCCCTAAACTTAAATAAATAAAAGAAAAAATATAATAAGATTTAATTAATGAAAAAGTATTTTTTATTTTTTTACAGATAATAACAATTTATTATTTAAAGTAATAAGAAATTGAATTAGGTAGAAAAAAAGAAGAAAGCTATAAAGAATTTAGATAAAATGCAAGAAAGCAATATGAATTAAAAATAAAAGTAAATATAAATATATTTTTATCAAAAAAATAAAAATAAATAAGGAATGGGCAGAATATAATGGAGTAAGAAGGGATATTAGGACTTTAATTTCTACTTTATAAAATATTCTTTGGGAAGGAGCTAATTGGTAACCGGTTTCCTTTTACGATTTATAAACTGATGCTTAATTAAAGGTTTTTAACTGGGCTTTTTTAATTTATTTTTTTATAAAAAAATAGAAAAATTTAAATGTCGTAAGAGCAAGGTTTCATCCGGATAAAAATAGAGATGACTAAGATAAAAGATTCATTTCTGAATAGATAACTGATGAAATAAATTAAGCTTGGAAAGATTATTAGGTAAAATTTAATTATTTTTTAAATTTCATTTTTATTAACTAAAAAAATAAAATAATAAAATATAGAGTTAAATAAATAAATGAAATATCGGAATAACAAATATTATTTTATTTACAAATATAAGAAAATTTATTTTAAAAAAATAAAATAATATAAAAAAAAAGAATCTTAAAAAATATTTAAAATAAAATAACAAAAAAAATATGAATAAACCCAAACAAAATTTGTCATAAGAAAATTACGATTACATGATAAAAATGTTATTAGTAGGTGATAGTTCAGTTGGTAAGACAAACATCCTTCTTCGATTTGCAGGCGATTAATATTAGCCAAATTACAAGGCAACAATAGGGGTAGATTTTAAAATAAAAACAATAAAAGTAAATTAAACAACTATTAAATTATAAATATGGGATACAGCAGGATAAGAAAAATTCAAAACTATTACATAAACATATTATAATGGAGCGTCCGCAGTAGTTATAGTTTATAGTATAACAGATAGAATTTCATTTACAAACGTAAGAAGTTGGCTTTAATAAATTAACGATCATGTAAACGATAGCAATGTTGTTAAGGTTTTGGTTGGAAACAAATGCGATGAAAGCGAAACTTAAAGGAAAGTCGAAAAAAGTGAAGGATAGGCTTTGGCAGATACTTTCGGTATACCCTTTTTAGAGACTTCTGCTTAAGATAATATTAATATTTAAGAATTATTTATGTAAGTCGGAAGATAAATTAAAGATAAATTTTTAGATGAAAATTAATAAAATAATAATAATAATAGTAACATCTAAAGTAAATTATAATAATAAACTGTGAAACTTGAAACTAATAATAAATCTTTAACTTTTAAATTATATAATGAGAATGAGGATAATGAAATTGAAAACTAATAAAATCCGTTTTAATAAAAAAAAAGTTGCTCTTGTTGAAAAAACATATATTTTATTTGATTTTATTTTCATTATTCTTATAAAAATATTTATATAATTTTATAATTTTCTTTTTTAAATAATTATATTTTACAATTAATTATTTTATTTACAATTTAGTAAAAATATTTAAGTTTGTATACTTTTTTACTTTTAATTAATTTTTTTCTTTAAGAATAAAAATCGAAGTGAAAAAATAATTTCATATAAATATAAAAAATAATATTTTGGATAAAATATTTTTTTTACAATTATCAATTAGAATTTTGTTAAAGACTTAAAATCGAATTTCCATGAATTTAAAAATTATAATATATAAAAAATTAAAATATAATTTAGATTGAATATTTTATATAAAATAAAAATAATATTAATATTTATTAAATAAATGAATAATTATTTAGATAAATAAATAATAAAATATCTATAAAATAATTAAAATATTCATTATAATTAAAATTATATATAATTATAAATTACTTAATTAAATAATTTGTTTATAATCATAAAATATAAATAAACTAAAATAATAATGTTATTATATAAATTATATAAAAAAAATTAATTTAAAAATTTAATGGTAACCGTAAAAATAATAGTATATAATCTATTATAATAATATAACAAATATTTCCTAATACTAAGTACTCAATATGTGTTAAAAACAATTTATAATATTTAAATTTACATTAAGAAGGATTATTGAAAACCTTGAGGTTTTATAAAGAAATTCATACCATTTTGGGATATTATAGATAGTTTTTTTATTCAAATTTATTAATAAAACTTTTAAATTTTGTTTTGTTTTTAAATAAAGCAATTATTTTATATTTAATAAAAATATATAATTTTTATTTAATAGCCAAACTAATATTTTTATAAGCCTTAATTTTATTTTTATTATTTTATTTTAACTTTTAGGAGCTGCTTCAATCAATTATTTACTTACTTTACTTTTTCAAAGATTTTGAAGAAAATATTTGTAAGTAAAACATATATTATGTATTTTGATATTATTTAATTATTATATTATTAATAAAATAAATTAGATTTAAGTATATAATGCAACAAATTTTATTGAAGAATTACGATAATAGGAGATTTGACTAAAAACTAAATAAAAATAGATTTGAATAAATTTAAAATATAAAAGAATCTATTATATAATTAGTTATGCATTATTAATTAAAACTAGTTAAATTTTAGAGGAATTTAGTATTTTCCATCCAAAATAATTCCTCAAAAATCAATTTTATTAGAATTCTTAAAAAAATATATATCAAAGGTCGTCGTTATTGAAATTTAAATTATTTAATCTAAAGAAATTAAATAATAGTATTTATCCAATAGCAAATATAAAAATAACATAATACTATAAATTGTGTGGAATAAATATGGCTTTTTTCAAAAATAATAAATTTTTTGTCACAAAATAATATTTATAGTTTCATACGACTATATTTGATCTTTATAAACACCCTTTAATTTTTAAGATAAAAAATGAATTTAAAAATAATAAGTGTATAAAATTTAAATTAAAAATATTAAATAATAGCTGAAAGTACAGAAATATTTAATATGAAAAATATTTCAATTTCTATAAATATTGTTTAATATAAAAAGTAAAAATAATAATATATAAATTATATATAATATATTTTAAATATATTATATTATATTTATTATAAATATATTTTTATTTTTTAAATGTTTATTAATATTTTTTTAATAAATTAATGAATTTTTTTATATTTAAAATTTAAATATATTTATATATTAGATAGTAGTCATATTTTTTTATATATATTCATATAATCCAACTTTGTTCTACAATTTCTTTTACTCTTTTTATATATTCTTTTTTGTCTTCTTAAAAAAGCTTCGCAGCTTCACTATTTGCAGGGGAATTAGGATTTGGATCAGTTAATAGAGATCTTATAGATGTTAAAATAGCCCAAACATCATAGATAGTACTCCATTAATTTTATAAAATATCTAAACAAATTTATCCATCATTGTATATATTAGGATGAAATATATTTGTTTTAAATTTTACTATAGGAGGTTTGTTTGGATAATCCTCTGTGAATTCTAATGAAAGCCTAAATATAGCCCCATCCCAAATTGTGTCTTATGGACCATATAATAATGCATCCCATATTAAGATATTATCTTCCATTGGCATTGCTGTGAATTCTTGTGGCGGATCATCTTGGAGTTTTTTAAAATCTTTTAAAAGCCGTCTTTTAGACATAGTAGTCATTTTTTTCTTTTTTAGTAATTTTTTTTTTTTCTTTGTTAATAATTATTTTTATTATTATAATTTCCTCTTTTAAATGCTTATTTTTGTACAAGATTTATATATTAATAAAATGCCGCTTTAGCTCAGTGGTTAGAGCATTCGCCTAGTAAGCGAAAGGCCGACGGATCAATCCCGTCAAGTGGCTTTTTTTTTATTAATATTTTTAATTTATTATTTTTAGACTTTTAGTTTTTTTTATAATTTTTTTGTTTTTTATAAAATTGTTTTTATTATTATAATTTTATCTTTTTAATGCTTATTTTTGAACCAGATTTATAGATTAATATAAAACGCCGCTTTAGCTCAGTGGTTAGAGCATTCGCCTAGTAAGCGAAAGGCCGACGGATCAATCCCGTCAAGTGGCTTTTTTTTTTATTAATATTTTTAGTTTTTTTTTTCTTTTTAAAAACATAAATAATATTATATTTTTTATTTAAAACATATTATATTTAGTTTATATTTAAATTTTTATTATTTTTTAAAGTTAATAAATGGGAAAAAAATAATTTGATTAATATTTAAGTAATAATATGTAAAAAAAACTATTCATAAACTTTTCTTTTTTAATTATTATTTTCTAAAAAGGCGAAACACCTTTAAGTACAGTTCATTTAGATTTATTAAATAGAGTTCAAAGAATACCAAATGATAATACTTTAAAACCAGCTTTCAAATGCATAAATATAAATTTTAATGTATAAAAAATGTAATGGGAAAATAAATGTAAAATAATAATAATAGTAAATAGAATAAATATTTTATTTAAAAAAGTACTTGAATAATAAGGAGATGCTACTAATAATACAATGAAAGCAGAACAAACTGAAGAATAAATAAAATTAAATTAAAATTTGAACAGTTAAAATTAAGAATCGGCTAAAATAGAAAAATTAAAATTAGAATGTTATAGATTAAATAATTAATAAAATTAGTCTGCAAGAGAATTTAGAGAACTTGAAAAGCATTATTCAGATATAAAAAAAAAATACATGATTGTCGAAATTAAAAATTAATTACTTCTATCAATGGTATTTATATATTTTTAGTTATAAAATTAATTAAAAATATAGATATAAGAAAAAGAATAAGAATTTTAAAAATATGTGGATAAATATTATAACAATTAATAATGTTTATAATTATTGCAATAATAAATATAATAATGATTAATATATATTTATAAAATAATATATTTTGGATAAAATATTTTTTTAAAATTTAAATATATATATTTTAATTAATTAAATATTTTATTTAGTTTTTTTATTATTATTAATATATTAAAACAAATATATATTATTTACAATATTTTTAATTTATATTATTAAAACAAAATTCATTATATTTTTAATTTTTAATATAAATTAATTATATATATATATATAATTTTATATCCTTTAATTCATAAATGTTCGAATTAGTTTTCATTTATTAAAAATAAATTATATTATTTAAAAAATAAAAAAATAGTTAAATAAATAAATAAATATATTAATTATTTTATTTATATTCATTTTATTATGTAAAAAATTATAAAAAGAAAACAAATTAATATTAAATTATAAATTCTAATTTAAATAAATATAAAATTAAAATTAATTACAATGAATAATTATAAAGCATCAGTATAAGTTATTAATATATAATAGAATATCGAAACTTGTATGGTTTCAACTATTATAGACGCGAATTCTAAATAATTACCATAAAATTGTGTAAGCTTTTTCTTTCTCAATTATTTATTTTAATTATTCTAAAAAAATAATTTATAAAAAAGACCTAAAATTATAACCAAATTCAGTTTTCTTCTAAAAAAAGTTAATAAGCATTAGAATAAAAAAACTACAATATTTTATATTCTGAATAAAAAAAATAACATACAAACATGTATGTCGAATAAAATTTACCCTTAAATATGGTTTTAAATAATAATATGAGGCCCGATAAACCTTCTCCAAGTATAAAGAGCATTATAATGAAAAATATTTAAATAGAAGATTCATAAAAAAGAAAAAAAACTGTTTTTACAACACGTTAAAAATAACAAAGTAAACAATTTATACGAGAATTTGTAGAAAATAGGAATCCAGATTCTTGCTCAGATCTCTCTCCTGTAAAAAAAATAGCAAATTCGGGAAAAGGTGAAGGTACAATAGTAAATAATTTGAAGATAAAAAAGGAAAAAGTGAAAAAATAAACGAAAAATACTTATTATATAAACTCTTTAGTAAGATCAATAATAAATCCGGAAAGAAGAAATGACTATAGTGCAACCTTTAGGGACCATTTTTTACAGATGTTTAACTCCTTGAAATTATTAACAAAAAATGAATAAGCTCTAGATGAGGAGATTTAGAAAAGAGAAGTCATTTTGTAACCTGCTTCAGAAAAAAAAACTCTTGTACTTGATATGGATGAAACTTTAATGCATTGTATTGATAATTTAGATGTTCATTGTGACAAAATAATTGAAATAAAGCTAAATGAAGGTAAATAAATTATCAAAGCTGGGGTTAATTTTAGACCTTATGCTACTTATTTTTTATAGACGATGAGTGAATTTTATGAAATAGTAATTTTTACAGCTAGCAAAAAAGAATATGCAGATACTATTCTTGATTTTTTTGATCCTTAGAATAAATATATTACACATAGATTGTATAGAGAAAGTTGTATTTTTTAAAATAAAAAATATATTAAGGATCTGAGGATTTTCAAGAATAGAAATATTAAAAATATACTTATTGTTGATAATTGTGAAAATTCATTCTGGCATAATCTTTCTAATGGGATTCCTATTATTTCGTTTACTAATAATAAAGAGGATATTGAATTGTTGGAGTTGGCTAATTATTTATAATAAATTAAAGATTGTGAAGATATTGTTTTGGAAGTTAAAAATTACTTTAAATTGTCTAAATATAGATATTTTAATAGTCCTGCAGAATTAATTAAAGAATTATATTGAAGAATAAAAAAAAATTCTTAATAAATTATTCTTTTTTTAAAAATAATTTTAATAAAATTTGTAACAAATTATATATAAAATATTAATTTTTAATTCAATTATTTTGTTAATAATTAATTTCTATTTTATAAAATAAAAAATGAATATTAATATCAATTATGCAAAGAATAAATTACAATAATTATAAGAAGTAAATTATTTTATGTTTTATAACCTTTAAATATTATAGAATTTTTTCTCTAAAAAAAACAAAATAAAGTTGAATCATAATATTATTAAAATATAAAAATCTATATCATTGAATGATTATGAAAAATACAAAAGGCTTCTTTTTTCAAGCAGATGTGAGCCACCTAATTTAAAAAATTAAGAAATTTTTTAAATAAATAATCAGAAAATAAATCCTGGTGAAATTATAATTAAAAATGCAATGCAAAATTTAAAAAATAATTCAAACAAATCAATTTTTCCATAAAATTAGACTTTCTAGAAAAAATAATTTAATTCATTTACAGACAGATATATTTATAAAAGAAATTATTTGTCGCCTCCTAAAAAAATCGAAAAAACTTTTTAAAAAAATAATGATTAGTAAATTATTTAAAGTGAATTAATTTAAAGTGAATAAGAATTGAATAATTTAAAAAATAAATCAAATATTTTAATGTCAGAAAAAGATTAATTAAAGCAAGAAATATTACATTTAGAATTTAAAGCAAATCTCTTAAATGCACAAAATTAAAGATTAGAAAAAAATTAAAAAAATTAAATGCAATAATAAGATTAAAAATTATCCATAAATTTATGTGAAAACAATATAAATAATTTGTAAGAAAATTTTTAAGACAAATTAAATGAGTTAGAACAACTGAATATATAATAATAAATAATTCAAAAAAGTTTATAGTAAGAAAATAAAATCAATATAAAAATAAAGTAAAATAAACCTTAAGAATTTAATTATTATGAAAGTGAAAGTAGTAATAGTAGTTTTGAATAACTAAATTAAAAAATTTAATAAAAATATTATGATTTATAATATAAAAAAGGTTTTGAAAATTAAAATTATATATAAAAATATTAATAAAGTAAAACAGATTAACTTATAGTTTAGTTTATGGAAGAAATTAATAAATAAAATATATAAAAAGGGTAAGACTATTAAAATAATGATTAGAAGCGTTAATTTGATTAATTTAATAATAATAAATATAGTATGAGCTTTTAGGATGTTGATGATTTATCTCAAGAAGTAGATAAGCTCATTTAATTTAGAAATAATAGTAAATAATAAGTAAAATAGAAATTAGAATCCATTAATAAGAAAAAAAAAGACAATCATTATTATAATAAAATCCAAGATATTATTGATAATTAAATAAAAAGGAAAAAGCCTTCTTTATTTGAAATAGATGAAGAAGAATAGAATTCTGATAATTCTTTTAATTATCAAAATAGATTTTAATAATATTAATTTAAATGATTTTTTTAAAATAGAATATTTAATATCATTAATTTTTTTATATTAGAGAATAATTTTTCGAATTTTATTTAAATAATTTTTTTTTTTTATTTTCAATTAATCCCAAATATTTAATTTTAACGAAAAATAAAATAATTATCTCATTTATTTATTAAACCAAAATTTTCTAAATTTATTAACTTTTAATATTTTTTTATATATTGAGAAAAATAAAATAAATAATTTTCTTTTTACATTTAGAGTTTTTTATTCAGATTTCAACTAACTTTATGCAATTTTAACAATATTTTCATATTCAATTTATGCATTTTACTTAGTTGCTGGATTTTCTCTATCATAATCCTTTTGTATAAAAATAAGAAATATATAAAAAATTATTTACTTTTTCTAATAAATGTTGAATATCAGAATATTTATAATTTACAGGTTCATATTTTTTCTTTAAGAATATTTTTTTATTTATATATTAATTGGGTAAAAAATTATTTAAACAGCCAATAAAGAGAGTCAAATATTAAACATAAGAATCAAAATTATTAAAATTAAATTATTGAGTCTCCAAAATATAAGAACATAAAATCATATTTCCTGCCTTTTATGTTTTATGAAAATTAATTAAAAATATCTAAACATTTTTTTTTACACAAAAAAACATAATAGAATTTTCAAGCATTTTCATTATAAAAATAGATAATTCTTTACCAAATTAATTTTTAGCACTTTTTCTTCGTATAAAATTGTACTTGTAAAAAAATAAATTTTCGTGTATAAATATTTTTAAACTAAAAAAAATATTATACTTTATCTATCCAATAACTAACAATAACATAAATAGTTGTATAAATGATTCCTGTAGGGAATATCGGTGCATAAAAAGCCATAAAATAAACGATTTAAATTAAGTTAGAATATCTTTCAATATAATTAAATTAAGTGTTCTCAAATAATCTTTTTTTAAAAAAAAATTCAATAATTGTTTATAAAATAACATTTTACTCATTTAATTCTTACTAAGTTAAAAAACATTGACCTTTTTCTGATTAATATTTTTAGATTTAATATCTTTTAATATATTTAATAAGCTCTTAGAAATCAATTATTTAAAATAGAAGAAAAAAAATTATTTTATATATAAAAATATAATTTAAATTATAAATAATTCTAGGCTTTTAAAAAAAGCCTTTATTATCATCATTTTTAATCATAAAAGTCTAATTTATTAATAAAACTAATCCAAAAATACCAAATTATCCAAAACTATTTTTCAAAAGTAAGCTTTTATTAAAATCTATTTCACATTTTTATTTTTCCCATCTAAAAAATAAAAATAAATTAGTAAATGTGTATAAATTTAAATATTACTTAGTAAGATAGAAAGAAATAATATATATAATTTTCCCAATAAAAATAATAGACAAAGCTATTAAAGCAAATAATATTTGTAAAGAAGTCTCCGTATTAAAAAGAAAATAGCTTTATTTAATCCAAACTTAATTTTAATAAACATAAATTTACCAAAAAACAAAAAAAAATCCAAAAACAAATGCCTAAACTAAACAAAATCCAATAAAAAATTTTAAAACTTAATTTTCTTTATACAAATTCCACCAAAAAACTTCACTTGGCAATGGTGCCTCGCAAATTCTGATTTTTTTTTCTTTGTAAACTAATTTTTTATTCATAAACAAACCCCTAAAGTTTTCTAAAACTTCCCATCTACTAATAGAATCTGATAAAGTGATAAAAGCCCATCCTGTAAAATATTTTTTCATGAATTCTTTACTTTTTTTCCCATTAAATTAATCTAAAAGTGGCTTGATTTTTTCTTCTAAATTATTTAAAAGATCATTTATATATATACTATTTAAATCAGGTTAAAAAAAGTCAGTTCTATATTTATTAATAATGGCATTCTATTTCTTTTAATAAATTATTTTTTTCCTTTCTTCTTCCCAAGTTTTCAATTCTTGTAAATTATAAGTGAATTCAACCTTTTTAATTTCTACTTTTGCTTTTTTGTTTTCCAATAAAGCATTTTACAAAAAAACTTTCAAATCCTCTTCAAAATCCTTATTTATTGCATCATATTCTTTAGGAATATCTTTTATTAAAATAGTAAATTATTAACTTTCATATAAACGACATTATAAATTTAACTTTCGCCATAAAAAATGAAAAAATAAAACTAAAAAACATACTAATGACAAATTCAGTTTTTTTTAAGTTGATAATACATATTAATCATTTAGTATATTTCCGATAGATTATTATATTATCCAATCTTCTATACATATATTAAGATCTTAGCAAGCCTTTCCATAATAAATGTTTGAAAATAAGTTATAAGCACCAGTTATCAAAAAGAATGCTATACATATGAAAATTATATTTTTGACATCTTAAAAATATAAGGAATAGCCAAATCCTAAATAATTAAATTCTTATAGAGAACAAAATAATGAAAAAGGAATTTTATTTATTATTTTATTACAACATACGCATTTTTCAGTATTATTTTACATTTATTTACCTATTTAGGATGCTTTCTTTTTTTTATTATTTTTATATTTTAATATTATTTATATACTTAATGTTAATTTGCTATGGAAATATCTGAAGGAATTTAATCTGGATCATATTTTTAGTCATTTTCAACATTTTTATATAAAATATTTTAAGAATTACCAGTAATTATTGGAACTTCGATTTTTTATTAAAATTAATAATAAAAAGTTTTTTTTAAAATGTATTTTTTATTTATTTTTTACGAATTCGGCTTATCTTTATTTGGAGAAGATTATTGCTACATCTTTAATTTTACATTTTAATTTAATTAGCTATTTATTATTTTATATGATTATTAAATTATAATTATTTTATATATAAATACATAAAATAACTTTCTTTATTCAAATTAAATTATAGCTTTAACTTTCTTGTAATAGTAAAAAATAAGGCTATTTATTAATATTTTAATAATAAAAATAAAACAATGTTAATATTTAAAAAAATAATTTAAAATATATACTTAATTTTACAAAATCCATTAATAATAAATATATATTATACAAATTTTTAAGTTAAGTAAATATTAATTTTATTTTAAACTAAATTAGTACTAATTAACTTTTTAAAATATTATATTTTAAATTTTTATATAATTTAAGTGATATTTAATAAGATTTTATAAATATTTTTTTTGTTCAAATTAAAATATTTACTTATTTTTTTTAATCATAATTATACTTTTATCTTACTATTATACTATTATATTATCATATTTATAAAAACTGTATTTATTTAAACTGCAAAATAATAATTACTAATTATATAAATTTTATTATTTTATTTTGCTTAATTAATAAATTTAAATTTTTATCATTTATATAATAACATATATTATCACTTATTTTCTCACTAAAATTGTGCTAAATCTAAAAATTTTCTTTTAATTAGCAAAGAAATTTTGTAAAATTGTAAAATAATTTCATAAAAAATATAAACAAATCAATATCCATAATTCTAGTAAATTGAAAATATAAAATATTTGAAAATAAAATGAAAATTTCTGGATTTTAATTCTTACATTCTAAAGCAGAAACAGCTAAAGTAATTGGTGTAGATTTTACCATAATGCCTGAAGAAGAGATAGTAAAAATAAATATATATACTTATAAACAATAAAATATTAATAAAAATAAAGGATGCTTGGACAAATGCTGAAATATATAAATACGAATCTTTTTAACGAGAATAAGAGAGTGGAATAAATGATCCAAGAATGGGTGTTTAATTATTTAAGGAAAAATGTAAAACCTGTTCGCAAAATAATGAATGTCCAGGCCATTTTGGTCGTATAAAATTAGAAAGAAAAATATATCATATAAACTTTATTACTACAATTAAATAAATATTACTTTGCATATGTCATAAATGTGGAACTTTGAGAAAACCATCAATAAAGGTTAAACTTTTTTAATATTTTTTTGCTTTTTATAATTAAAAAATTAATGTAAAAAAAAGGAAGATGAGAATGGAAACCCTAGAAATGATGGTGAAGTATCAAAGAAAGTTAAATATTAACAAATTCTTCAAATTCCTAATTCAAAAAAAAGACTTAGCGAACTTTATAAAATGTTAGGAAAAGTTAATTAATGTTCATCTATTGGATGCTTAGAGAAATTATATACTAAAATTACTATTGAAAAGTATCTAGAATTATGGTTATGGAAAGTTAAACTAAAAAATAAATATATTTTTTTAAACATAAATAAAAATTATTAGAAATCTGATTAATCTAAATCAAGTATAGAATCTTAAAAGACATAATGGTCTGCAGAAGAGACATACAATATACTTAAAAAAATACCTAAATAAACAGCTATAGATCTTTTACATAATAAAGGTATATATATTTATTAAATATAAAATAATTATTATTTATTAAAAAAAAAAGAAAACAAAAAATTTAAAAGCGAATATTTTTTACATCCAAAAGACTTAATATTAAGCCGAATTTTCGTCCCTCCTCCATAAGTTCGCCCTTTTATCGAATTATAAAGTACATTCGTTTGCTAAGATGAAATGACTAAATGTTATTAGAAAATAGTAAAATTAAATCAAGAAATTAAATAAGGAAATGTTAACGAAAAAGAACATGTAAAAATAATATCAAAATAAGTAAAAAATAATTAAAAAATAAAGGTTGAACTCATATAAAACATAGTCGCAAGAATGATTGATAACTAAAAACCGAAACTGCCCAGTTTAAAAATAAAAACAAAAACTATCAAATCTTTTTCTTAAAGACTTTCTGGCAAAGAAGGAAGATTTCGATAAAACCTAATGGGAAAAAGAGTAGATTTTTCAGCGAGAACAGTTATTTCTCCTGATGCAAATTTAGCTTTGGATGAGTTAGGAGTTCCTCGTAGTATAGCAGATACTCTTACAGTTCCAGAAATAGTAAACTAACAGAATATAAACATGATAAAACAACTATGGAATGACGGAAAGATAAAATATGTAATGAAGCCAAATAAAATAAAATAAATATATGAAGGATTTGATGCTATAATATCAAATTCAGCCCGAAACATAATTGAGGAACACATAAATGATGGTGTAATAATTGAAAGGACCCTCTAAGACGGCGATTTTGTCCTTTTTAATCGATAACCTACCCTTCATAAAATGTCTATGATGGGCCACAAAGTAAAGATATTACCATGGAGTACTTTCAGATTGAATTTATCTGTTTGCACGCCTTATAATGCTGATTTTGATGGAGATGAAATGAATTTGCATGTTCCTTAAAGCTATGAGACTAGGGCTGAAATAAAGCATGTTTGTCACGTCCCTAGACAGATAATTACTCCTAAGTCTAATAAGCCAGTAATGGGACTTGTATAAGATTCCCTTTTGGGAATTTCTTTGTTTACTTTAAGAGATTGTTTTGTTAAAAGGAAAAATTTGTTTAACTTAATTATGTGGATAGATAACTGGGAAGGAGAAATCCCGATGCCAGCTATTTTAAAGCCAGAAAAATTGTGGTCGGGAAAATAAGTTATTTCTATGCTTATTCCTAATAGAATTTCTATGATGAAAATAGGAGGAAAAAATAGTGATGATGAAAGATGGTTTTCTATTAAAGATGAGTATTAATTTATACATAAATTATAATTCAAATTTATTTTTATTAATAAAAATAAGTTCTATTTATATCTATAAAGGAGAATTGTTATAAGGATATATGACAAAAGCTATTGTAGGAGATTCACCCGGAGGATTAGTTCATTTAATTTGGTTAGATATAGGCACTTAAGCTACATGTGATTTCATTACACGTTCTTAGAGGATTATCAATAACTGGCTAATAATGTAAGGGCATACAATAAGCTGCTAAGATATAGTTCCTAGTGAAATTTGCCAAAAAGAAATGGAAAAAATAAAAGGTCAAGCTTTTATAGCGTTTGAAAATGCTTTAAATGATTTTTAAGATGCAAAAAAAATCGAAGATATGGGTTTACATAAAAGCGGGAAAAGAATATTTGATTCATTTGAGGTATATATAAATTCCATTTTAAATAAACTAAGAGGTATAGCTGAAAAAAAATGCAGAGAAACAACCAATTTCAGACTTAATTAATTTAATAAAATGGTTTGGGCAGGTTCGAAAGGAAAACCAACTAATTTGGCATAAGTAATGGGCTTTGTAGGTTAGTAAAATATCGAAGGGGCGAGAATTGGGAACGGGTTTATTAGAAGAACACTACCTCACTTTACTAAAGATGACAATGGAATACTTGCAAGAGGATTTATTACTTCTAATTTTTTTTAAGGTTTGAGGCCTTTTGAATTTTTCTTTCATATGATGGGAGGAAGAGAAGGGTTATCCGATACAGCAGTTAAAACCTCAAGAACAGGATATATTTAAAGGAAATTAATTAAAGCATTAGAAGATGTTATTGTCAAATATGATGGTACTGTAAGGGATAGTAATGGTACTATTATTTAAACTTCTTATGGAGAAGATGGTCTGGCAGGAGAATTTATAGAAAGTCAAAGAATCACAGAAGTGGAATTATCTAATGAAGTTTTTGAAAAAGAATTTAGGTTTTTAAAAGATTTAGATAACTAAGTATATCCGAAATAATTTTTAGAAAAGGAATACGGGAAAATATTATCATAGGAAATAATAAATGAAATGGATGAAAAAATAAGAATATCGAGAAGTAATAATAATGCTTTTTGTTTAGAAAAAGAATATAAAGATTTATTAGAAGCAAGAGATTTATTTAGGAAAGCCTTTTTTTTCTACACCTAAAATCATAGGGTTTCAGAATTTAATCTTCCTGTAAATATAGGTAGGATTATTCATTCGGCCAGAATTGATATTTTTTCAAAAAATTAAAAAAATAGTAATAATTAATTTTTAAGTCCAATTTTTGTTTATGAGGAAGTCTAAAAGCTCATTTAAAAAATATTAAATAACAAAACTTAAAAAAATATAAATGTTTAAAATTTAAACCTCATTGTAGCCCATATAATTTTGCATTTATCATCTAAGAAAATAGTCGTTAGGCATAAAATTTCGCCTGAAAAATTCGAATAAATTCTCCAAGAAGTTGAATTTAAATATAAGCAAGCTATTTCTCATCCAGGGGAAGCAATAGGAGCGATTGCAGCTCAATCTATAGGAGAACCAACAACATAAATGACCCTAAACACATTCCATTTTGCAGGAGTTTCAGATAGAAATGTTACTTTAGGAGTTCCAAGATTATAAGAAATTCTTGACGCGAGCAAAAAAATGAAGACCCCTGAATGCCGTATTTATTTTGAGGAAAATTTACAAAGTATAGAGGCTAAATAAATAATGAGATAACAAATAGAATACCAAGAAGTCCAAAAATACATCCTTTAAACCACCATATTATACTACAAATAAGACGAAGATAATATATTTGATGAAGATGAAGAAGAAGAGGAAGAAGATGATGAAAATTAAATAAATCAAAAAGAATATAAAAAATTAGAGTCTTGGAAGTTAATTTTTAAATTAGATAAGAGTAAACTTACGTCAGATTTTTATGATTAAATTTATGATAAAATTTCTTTATAAGTTTAAATAAATCATCAGCTTTTTATTGTTGGAAAAAGTCCTTTTGATGAATGCGAAATATGTATTTAGTTCAAAAAATAGCCAAATTTTAAATCATTTCTAGGAAATCCTTATATTTCCTTGCTAGAAGTGGAAAAAAGTTTAACAAATCTATATATTTCTGGTATTAAGAAAATTGACAAAGTTTATCCTACGTAAATTTTATATATTTTATATTTATTATGAATTCATTTATTTTTTATTTAAAGAGAAAAAGAAAATTAACATAATTTTGATTCTAAAAATGGAAAATAAATAAAAGATAAAGAAATTATATTCATCACTAGTGGTTCTAATTTAAAATAAATTCTTAAAATTCCTGGAATCAATCCTTTCTTAACTTACACTAATAACCTTTAAGAAATTTCAGAATCTTTAGGTATAGAAGCAGCCAGAAGATCAATCATAAACGAACTTAGAGAAGTCATTGAGCCTTACGATTTATATATAAACTACAGACATTTGTCTATTTTGGCAGATTGGATGACTTTAAGAGGGAGGATAACTCCAATAAATAGAATGGGTATAAATAAAATAGTAAATCTATCATGTCTAAGGAAAGCTTCTTTTGAAGAAACTGTAGATATATTGAATAACGCGGCAATTTTTTGCCAAAAAGATAAACTCGCAGGAATTACAGAAAATATTATTTTTGGATAATATTGCGATCTAGGAACTGGGTGTTTTGATTTGTTAATAGATTAACAAAAAGTAGTCGATTTTAAAACCAAAAGAGATATTAATTATTTCCCCTTTTATGAAGATGAGAATCATTCTCCTAATGCTAAAACGCCAATTTAGTATTTAAACACGCCAGTTTATCCTTTTACACCTGGAAATGCTGTTCTTACTCCAGGTTATGCTTTTAGTGTACATTAAAATATGGGTTCTTTTACACCTTCGTCCCCTCATTAAAACATTGGATATTCACCATTTATAAGTAAATTTATTTTTTCTTTTTTTATAAAAATAAATAAATTAGATTCAAATACTCCTATGTATCCAAATGCAATAAAATCTAACAATTAACCCCTTTATGCAAATTCTAGTTTTTATAGTACTGAAGAAAAAAATTTATCTCCTATTATTTCTCCAAGTAATATTATAAATGATTTTTTTTATTATTTTTAAATTAATATTAAAGATTATAGTAAATCTATTATAAGCCCAAACAATTCTTTTGCTTTAAATTCTTCCAGAAGTATTGGATATAGTCCTTATGAACTTTAAGATGGTTATAAAAGAACTCCTTCAATATTCAATTCACCAACATATTAATCCTAACAAGATATAAGGTATTCTACTTCATATATTTTTAAATATTTTATTTTTATAAAAAAGTAAATAATAAATATATCTATCCCCAATGTAATAGTTTAGATATAAAATAGAAAGTTAATAAAAAAATATCGAAAATGGTAATTCATCTTATATTTCTTAATAAAATAGTTATCTATAAAAAATATCTCCATAATATGATATTAACTTCTAACTTAAAACAAATACTTACATAAAGTAAGAAATAACCTAAATCTAAGAAGAAGATGATGATAGTGAATTTGAAAGCGATAGTGACGAAAATTGAATTAATAAAAATATATATAATAAAAAATATATTTATATATAATTAAAAATGTATTTATATATTAAATTAAAATACATTAATAAATTATAAAAAAATATATATTTATATTTTTAAAAAAATATATTTATATATTATAAAAATATTTATATTTTACTTAAATAAAAAAATTCATTCGATATTAATTTAATTTAAGGATTTTAATTCTTAATTTTCAACGTCCTTAACGTCCTTAACGTCCTTAACGTCCTTAACGTCCTTAACGTCCTTAACGTCCTTAACGTCCTTAACGTCCTTAACGTCCTTAACGTCCTTAACGTCCTTAACGTCCTTAACGTCCTTAACGTCCTTAACATCCTTAATATCCTTAACATCCTTAATATCCTTAATATCCTTAATATCCTTATCGTCCTTAATATCCTTATCGTCCTTAACGTCCTTTTTTATTTCACTTTTAATTAAATAAAAAATTATATTATTTATTTTACTTTATCAACTTTTGCAATTTAATTTGATTTTTCATAAGTTTCCTCAATTATTTTTTAAAATGCTTAAGTTGCATAAGTTTAAGTTGCTGGATTTTCTCTATCATAATCCTATTTATGTGATATGATTTTTTAATATTTTTTTAACAAAAGCTTATATTATATTTTACAATAAAAAGTTTTTTTTATATTTATTGAAAAGATTCAAAATTAGGAGAAACAGGCTTTACTTTAAATATTTTCTTATTAATAAAATTCATAGGTAAAATAGCATTTAAAAATGCAATTCCCATGGCTAAATAAGAAACATAAGAATCAAAATTACTAATTTATATATTAGGTTTTTCAAAAACATAATCAGAAAAAAGTATATTTCCCCCCTTAAAAAAAATATTAAATAAAATAAATATTTAATAGAAATGAATTTAATTAAAACAAATATATATTAAAATTTAATTAAAATATGTTTAATTACACAATAAATAACTAATACATATTCTAACATTTCTGTCATTTCTGTAGGTAGTTCGGTGCCCATATTATATTTGATAATTCTTCTTCTTAAAATATTATACTTTAATTTATAAAATTTAATTATCAAAAATAAAATAAACGAAAATAAATACTTTATCAATTAAATAAGCCAAAAATAAAGTAGCTAATGTCCATAATATACACATAGGTAAAATAGATGAATAAAACGCCATCATATACATACTTTTAAGAATAGTAGTATATCTATTAATATACATGAATTCTGGTTTACAAAATGCACTTTTTTTTTTTATAAAAAAAAAAGATAAAATAATTACTTATTTAATTATTCTTATGTTAAAAAACATAAGGAGGTTTTTTAATATTTTCTAATAATCATCCATTTTCTAACAATTTAAATAATACCTTTAATATTAATAACTTCTAAAATAAATGGAATGACGGCATTCATAATAAAAACAAATTAAATATTATACACAAGTCCACCCTAACCAAAAACTTTCACAAATTTATCATCATCAGGATTAACCATAAACAACTAATTAAAAAAAAGTAAAAAAATATTCAAGCAAATTTATGCAAAAGCAATTTTTTTTATGGCACTAGAATTATAATATCCTTTAGTTTTTTAACCCTCCCATTGAGTCAAATAAATACCTTAAATTTAAAAAAAAATCGAAATAAAAGTAATTACAATAGATATAGTAAATGAATACAACCACATTATAATCTCGAAATCTATAATATACTAATTTTTTTTTTTTTTTATTTCTTATTAAGATTCCAACAAATATTTTAAGAAGAAAAAAAATGCAGCATTTTGTGCACAAATAAGTAAATACCCACATAATTCTTTCCAAATTTACCCTTTCTTATGTAAATTCATCCAATATACATCCGTTGGAGCTGGTGGATTTTCTATTTCGATTTTATCTCCTTTAAAATTAAGTTTCGGTTTAATCTCGAAAAACCCACCTAATTTCGCATAAGCTCTTATTATATCATATTTATTTTTAGAATCGTTCAATGTAATAAAAATCCACCCAGTAAAATACTAAGAAAGAAACTCGGAAGAATTTGCATCTTAAAATTTATTCAAAATAAAATCTACTTTTGCCTAAATATTGGCTATTTATTCATTTAATTGAATGATATTGACATTTTCTTGGTAAAATCCTGTTGTATATCTTTAAATAATCGCTTTTTATTATTTTTTAATGAAAAAATCTTTTTATTTTTATTATTCTAATGCCTCACTAAGATTAAATGTAAAATTTGTTTTAATTATTTCAACCTTTTAACCACTTAATAAATTGGTACTGAGAAATTCTATAAATTCTTCTTTGTTGAAATTCTGAGTTATTTTGATATTTTTTAATAGAATAGTATAATCAGAAGCAGAAAAATCCAGTTAATCACAAACATTTTCAGAAACTCGAATTTTTCGTCTAAAAAATTAAAAAATTATAACCAAAGCTACTACGGTACCCAAATTTAAATAATTTTGAATTTTTATTTAATAATTTAAACCTTTTTTATTTCCAACAGAAAATATAGTAATCCAATCTTCATTACAAAATACACCTTAAGTACTTTTACAAAATGATCCATTTACATAGTTTGTGTATATATTATACCCTCCAGATATTAGAATTATTATTAAACAGGTTATAATGCAAAATATTAAAAAACTAAAATATAAAGGATATCCAGGACCTAAATAAGCAAGATTATTCATACTTGAAAATAATGGGAGTTAAATCTTGTTAATGCTTTAATTACAACAAATGCATGTTTCTCTTTTTGCAGTTTCGTCATTTTTTCCTACAATTGACGAAAGCTTTTATATATATATATATATATATATATATATAATATATATATATTTTTATATAAATATTTATTTATTTAAATAATTTTTATTTATTTTTTACTTCATGCTTTTTTGCTATTTCAAAATTTGGAGGTATTGCTCCAGGATTATATTTTTGTCTAGCCTCTATTATATTCTATTTGATTTTTGGTATTTGAGGTAATGGAACTTTTTATTTTTATTTTTTTAGGTATTAATATTTAAACAATATTTTATTTTTTACTTATTTAATTAATTTGTATTTATAAATTATTTGTAATTGACTTCTTTCTATCATTCGACATTATATTTTATGTCAATTCTTTTTAATTTTAATATTATTATTTTTCTATTTATTATTTTAATTAAAATAAATAGCAATAATTTTAGTAATTTTTTTTTATTTTACTTTTTTAAAAAAATTCATTTTAAATAATAAAATTTTAATACTATATTAAACATAAATTAATTGTTATATCCATTATTAAGTAAAAAATATAATATTTGTGTAATAAAATACTATATTATTCTTTATAAACAATTAATTTTATTAAATAATTAACATAAAAAATAATAATCATCAATCGAGTTTTACAAAATATTTTATTTCACAACTACTGCTTTTGAGATTTTTACTATTAATTGCAAGTGGTTACTAAAACGGTGGATTATACATATTACTATTAAAATTCCCTACTTATAATTACTTATTTTTAAATAATTTAAAATAAAACCACAAAACCTACTCTTTTTACTAATTGATAAGATACAAAACCGCAAAAACATTATCTAAAAGAACTCCCATTTTATTTTATAAAGCTGGAATATCAATATCAATAAGAAATTCATCTTTAAAAACAATATTTTTTTTCACACTTTATTTAAATTCAGTTGCATAAGCACACTCTTCTCCCAGATCATCTTCTAAAATTTCATTTCCATTTAAAAGTCCAAGTTTAATCTACAAATCATTATCTTTACGCAATTTTTTTACCTCTTCGACGCCTATAATGAATTTATTTTCAACTTATATTGAATTTTTTTCACTTTTTTCAATTTACATACTATTCGAATAATTATTAATGCTATTTAAAATTTATTAATCTTCTTATACAGGGATATATTTTTTCACTTAAATATTAAAGTGTATTTTCTCATTTCTTTTTTTTTATTTAATCTTTTAAAAAGGATAAGTTAGTTATAAAGGATCTTCAAATAAAAATTCAGAAAATGAACCTTCGTTTATTTTATTATTTTTAAATAATGGCTGTGCATACCATCCTAATTGTTATTCTTCATCATTTTAGGTTATTTATACAAATTAAAATACTATGATGTATTATTCGAATTCTTTTTCTTTTATGATTTCTTAAGGATCTGCTGAAATTCGTATATAAGCTCCTAATTCAACTTCATTTTTTTCGTTTTTATGTACTACTTCATCGAAATCATATAAAACAGGGTTCTAAAAGGCATCTAAAAGAATTTAATTTGGATTCATTATTATAAAATCAAATGATATTCCGATAGTATCGTCATATTTTTCCATTTTTTATAAATCAATAATAATCATATTTTCAGGTAGAAAAATCTTGGATTAATCTTTAATCTAATCTGAATTATAACTAAAACGATGTTTATTATTCTTTTTATTTTTCTTTTTTCTTTATTATGTATTTAACATAAATAATAAATCATCTTCTTATTATTATTTTTTTGTGATTGTATTTTAATCTGATTGTTATTAAGTAAATTCATAATATTAGGAATCTTAATTACTATTTTTATAAATGTTTATTTTATTTTTGAGAATGTATAAATAAACATATTATATTATAAAAATATATATTTATAATAATATATATATATATATATATATATATATATTTATATATATGATTATATATATATTATTATAATACTCATCTATATTTATAAATACTGGCAATAATTTTTTAAATTAATAATCTTTTATTACATATTAAATTATCATTTGAGTATTCTTATAATCTTTTTTAAAAGGAGGTTTTCTAGCAGGTGGTGATAATAAATAATTTATAAATTTGCCATTATTTAATTTATTATTCTTTTATAATTATTTTTTATATTTTAAATAAAAAAATATTACTTTAAAAAGATTTTGTAAAATCCAACCAATAGGTGTATTATCAATTGTAAGTTCAATAAAAAGATACATATTTTATAATTAATCATTACTATAATTTTCAATTTTTTAATTTAAATCAATTTAAAAATTTTTAGAGTAATCGAAAGTATCATTTTCTGATGTTAAGTTAATTAAGAAAAATGTTTTGCATTAATTTCCTTAAAAATCTTTAATAATATTATTTCTTTCATATAAAATAATATTCACTTAAACTTATTATTTATTAAATCCTATCATTTTTTCTAATTTTTCAATCCTAACTATTAAACCTCCTTCAAAATTACTTTTAGTGTTATTTTTATCAAATGAACTTTTATATTCTTGACTTTCTAAAGTGTTTGTGTTTTCATAATTTTGAATTTTAGTTTATGCCCTTTCTTATATTTTATATTTATTTTATAATTTATCTTCTCCTTATTATTAAATTTCTGTATATTATTTCATACTTTTATCATATTTGCTTGTCACTGAATTCTTTTCTTTGATTTCTTAATTTTATTTTTTTATATTTGGGCTATTTATATTTATATTTAGATTATTCATATATAAATTAGGATTATTTCCATTTAGGCTTTGACTATTTTATTTTTTGTTTTGTATTTCTGAAATGTTTGTATAACTTCCTCCTTACAAATTAGGATCACCACCATACATACTAGGATTACTATATTATATATCGTGATTTTTCAAATTAGGGCTTTTATTTATTTTTATGTTATTTGGATTATTTCCATATTATGGAATAAAATTGTTTCTTATGTTTAAATATTCGCTGTTTTCTTAAAACTCCTAATCCCATCCTCCTTAGAAATAATTTTACGGATTTTAAATTTACGGACTTTATATTTACGGACTTTAAATTTAAGGACTTTACATTTACATTTAAGGATTTTACATTCTTTAAAAGTGATTTTCATTTTAATATTAATTATTTTTTGTATAGGAGATTTTGGGTTATAAATCAGCTGCTTCATATTTTAAATTAATATATATTTTTTAATTAAAAATAATAAATAAAACCTCTATTTTCCCTTATAATTTATATTTAGGGAAATCTATTGGGATTATTTTCATAATTTTCATATTAATTAATATTTTCACTATCATAATTCTAATGAAAAGGAGGAATCTAATAATCAGCTTCAAAAAAAGTATAAATATTATTATCAAAATTAAGATCATTAGGGGTTGCAATTCTTATAAAAAGATAGGAATTATGAATAGGTTTTATTTGATTTTATAAAGGTAAACTAGGTTTTATAGCTTAATTATATAAAGGAAGTTTAAATTTTCCAGAATTTAATTTCAAATTATTATTAAATATTTTATGTATTGTCCAAGCCTTTTATAAATTTATATATATTTATTTATTTATTTAAAAAAACTTTATTATTTAATTCTCTTCTATTAGGAAACTTTTCATTAGAAAAAATCTCAAAGTAAATAATAGTATCTTAACATGCTTAAATATCTTGAACTAATCTTCTTTCAACAAATATGCAATGCGAATAAAAGCTAGATTATTCTATTGCTTTATATATATCTGTTTTTAAGTAAGTTTCTAATTATTAACCTTTGTCAAATATCCCAAAACAAATCATTATATCATCAAAAAAAGGAGGAATATCAGTTAAAAAGTCGAATCTTAAAACAAATCCTTCATAAGAATTATAAGTATTTTTTTCATAAATAAGGGATTAATTATTTTAAAATATGTTAATATCATTTTCTTGAGAAAATTTTTCATAATATTTTCTATTTTTTTAGAATAATAGTTACCTTTCTAATTTATCTTTTAAATCTCTAGTATATTTAAATTAATCGTGTTATTATTTAAATACATATGAATTCGGATCTAAATATCCCATTTATAATATTAATTATTTTTCTTTGTAAGTTAAATATTCAAACATTGCTTCAGTGTTTGTTTTCTCTTCTTATTTTTTTTTTGTAAATTATGAAGAATCATCAAATATTTTATAGTTTTTTTAACTTCTAGTGATGTTTTCAACTTGAATATTTGAATTTTTTCGGGAATATTTATATTAATTGTTTTCTAATTAAAAATCTATATCATGTATTCAAATATTTTATTTTTTTAGAATATAAAAAATTATTCATTAATAATTTATTTTTATAATTACTATCTAGTTAATCTATATGTTACCGAAAACTGTTTATTTATTGTTCTTTATTATAATTATTATTTTAATATCCTAAAAATGGAGCTTTTATTATAAATAAAATAATAATTCTACTAATATATAATTACATAATTTATGACTATTAATATTTCCTTATTATTACTTTTATAATTTTTATATATATTATTTTTTATAATTAAATATTTACATTGCTTAAATTCAAAATATTCGAAGCTGTTCTTCCAAATTAACTTTATTAATCATGTGCTTTAAAAAAAAATTAAGAATAAGAAAAATTATTGTATAAAACAAATATTTATAAACATACCATTCATAAGTTTATATAATTAATAATATTTTTGTATAATTTTTATAAAAAAAATAATTTAATAATAATAAAAACTTATTATAATATTAAGATTAAAAAAAAATTAAATAAAAAAATAATATATAAATATTTAATAAAAAAAAATATATTAAGTTTTAAAATAGATAATCAATTTATAATAAAATCAAATATATAAGCTTTTATAAAATATAATATAATTATTGAAAACATAAAGTAATATCTAATAAATATTTATATTAACTTTAATTTAATTATCTTATTATTTTTTTAAATTTATTTATTAATAAATTATTTACAAATATTTTAATTAAATTTATAAATAAACAAATTATTTTTAATTATAAAAACATATATTTTTAAAATGACTATTATTATATTTATTTAGATAAAATTTAAAAAAATATATTTTATATAAAAATAAAGATTAAAAAATTAAATTTAATTAATTTTATCATAAATTAAAAGTATTATTGCCATAATTACTATTATTACTAATATTACTAATATTACTATTATTACTATTATTATTATTATTATTATTTTTACTATTATTAGTATTATTATTATTATTTTTATTATTTTAATATTATTTATATTATATTTTGTTTTATTTTAATTTTTATTATTTTTATTTTGTATTTATTTTTATTTTGATATTATATAATTTTTTTATTTTTATTTATATTAT